TTGCTGTTTGCTATTGAATCAAATGAGATGGTGCAAGAATCATTCGACATTAAGCAACGCCGTTTCGATTTTATTTTATTAATTTTTACATCAATTTGCTGTTCTTGTCTCGTTGTTGGTGCTTGCTGTGCGATATTTAGCATGTAATTGCATATTTTTAGTGTCAACTAACTTGCCCGAGCAGCTAAATAAGCTAAAAGACTTGTCGATTCCTTATATACAGCATTCTATGTCACTCGGGCGTTCCTCTATCTCATGACTCCTATTAAGTCACAGATCACAGATCGAGTGAGAAAATTGAAAGCACAAAAGAGCAAATAAAACATAACAAGAATCAAATTACGATTTGCAATTTAGGTGTCACTGCCAACAGCAATTATTCTTCTTATTGTTCTTATTTTTTGTCATGCTTAATACACGAAAAAAGCACAACAGCAAATGGTCCATGAAGAACACGAGAACAAGCACAACACAGCAAAGAAGAAGATTTCAAAAGCACAAAATGCAAACAATGCAGCACACAACAACAAGATGAGACTTCGTCACTCGATGTGACATAATTTTGTGCTTAAACAAATTTTTTTATACTTTACATTTTTTGTAATGTCAACACTGCGCGCTGAAGTTAAAATGTGATAAATGACTTAATGTGAAAATTGCGCACGACTGTCGACATTGGCTGGTGTCTCTTACTTACTCTCGATGATTAAAATGATGATGAAGTAATTAATTGAGAAATTCACTTTGATTGCGTTCGGCAAATTTATTTGTCAACTGGAACTTTTTTTGTCAGTCACAATTCCAGTGCATTAATGCAATTATCAGTTCCATTGAGTCATTATGTAGCTCATCTCGCATATACTCTCAGGTGCTTTCGTAACTGATGTAAGGTTACAAAATTTATTTGTGTTTAAGGAGAAAGGTAGTCGAGGCAATAATGAGACAGAAATAAAGGCACATATTGTACTTGATGAAGATTGTGGAATGAAGTTTGCAAGTTGTCTTGGTTTGATGTCTGAAGCGCTTTTAATTTAAGTCATTCTTATCCTGGATCCAGTCAAAATCAAATTTCATGTCAATTTATGAGATTCCAATTTGAAAATCTTAAGCACTTCAAGCATAGCCCAAAAAAATCAAACACAATGGAACAAAATATGTTGGAACTTGCCATACTTTTCGCCATAACTTAACACACCTTCCCTCTGATCTTTCTCAATTAAGTCAAATGAATTACAATGCAGCAATAATAGTTGTGCGATGGATGGATGGATGGAGAGTGTTACAAAACATACAGAAAGGCATTAAGCAGCTACTAAAAAGTAATTTTTTGCGACATGACAAAATACTTAATCGACGTACTCGGCACCTTTTGCTCTTTCATCTCTTCTTCTTCTTCCTTCTTATTTACTTAATTTATTTCATTATGATGTGTGCGTTTGAGACTAGAAGGACTTGGAAATAAGCAGCTAGCAGCAGCAAATTGTAACTCATTTGATATTTCTTCACCTCATAAAAAGTTGTGACTTTTTGAGTGAGAAAAGAAGGCAAAAACTGCATCGAAATATTGACTTCGATTTATGATTATTGCCCTGCCAATTCACGCCATCATAAATCAAGTACAAGTCTCACATTATGCCGCAGTACTGTATTGTATCTACTCAATTTCATATATGCACATTAGACAGAGAGAAGTTCAATGTATTTGACCGCAATTCTGGATTTTTTAATGCTGTTTTTTTTTTGTGAATGGCAAATATGAAGCAAAATGGCAGTGCTGAATATGAACAGAAAAAAATTGAACATGAACGCATTGGAAGCAGACACATATATCAAATGTGTTTTATTAATTTTTTTTGCCTTGCTTTGTACAATTTCAAATATTTGCAGTGGCATGAATTTAGGCGCATGCATGAAAACTTTTTGTGCTTTGCTGCTTTTAATTTCCTTTTATGCTGAGTCTCGAGTAGAATTGTTTATGGCCTGCAAAGCTTTTTATAAGCTGAGAATCACTGTCGTTGTGTCTTGTATGCAATATATGATTAACTGAAGGTTCTGGACGACACAACAACTGTCGATTATTCCTTAAAACTATTAAAATAACGAGGATTAAAAAATCAAAGCTTAATTCTCAAATCATGTCCAATCATGATCAATTCAATAGCTATTAAAAGCCACACATTCTCACCTCAGAAATTCACAAAAATATTCAAGAAGATCTCTAAGAAAAAGAAGTCATTTGTGTCTGTGTCTTAAAGTCAATTTTTCATGTTGCTTCACTTCCATTATTTAAGGAAATTTGCATTTTGTTTGTTGAAATCTTCATGAATTTCGGAATGAAGGAGAATAAATTCTGAGTGTAAAGTTGGGTACGTGTCGCAATTTTCAAGAATAAAAGTCTCGTTGAATAAATTTGTGAACTTAACAAGAATTACTCAACAAAAGTAGACAAATGGCTTTAATGACAATTGAGAATTGATTCCGTTCAAGTGCTGATTGTGCAACATTCTAGCATAATTTGTTTGTTATTGTTGAAGGAATAATTTGTCGAAATTCATGATGAAATCCGCAGATGGTCATGAAAATAAGACAGACAGAAAGGATGAATGTACACAAAAGTAATACATTCATAGCTGTTGCTGTAATTCTCAAATCAATTTTCTGACTGTAAATTTTGCAATAAATTTGCCGTAAATTGATTGTCCTTAACATTTCGAGTCAAAAAATTATTTCAACATTTAGTCAGAGTGTCTGCATGGACATACACATACACACACAAATACAGCAATGGAAAGACAAAACAAGGCGAAATGAGAAGCCAAATGAATTGCAGTAATTGATGTTTGTTGGATTTACAGATTTTAATCAAAAACTGACTCGAAAATAGTCTGGGAATAGACAAGCTAGTGCCAATTAAGTGGCAAACTGTAATATCATTTAAATGTAAGGCTGAGCTTGAAAGTTGAAAGGCTAATGACGCAAAAAAGATTAATGGAACAATAGACATGACATTTTGCACACGCAATAATCACTTGAGTGACTGCTTGTTGCATAAATTCTTCTATTGTGCTCCAAATCTCAACGTCTATACTGATCATTGTTACTGATAATATATCCAACTGAAGCATAATTGACCGTTAATATTAGTCAATGTTGATCATCTTTATGCTCCTTCCATGACTGTATTTGGAATTAGTGAACAATGGAATTAAAGTTCAATATTGAATTAAGATTAATTGCAGTCATAATTTACATGAAGTTTCCAGTTCCCATCTTCACATTTCATTTGAATGGATGCTTGATACATAAAAGGCAACGATCGATCACTTTGCTTCTTTGTCTTTCAATTAATTAAACTTTTTGTGCTGTTGATCGATTTTTTGAAATTTCAATTAATAATTATTTGCTTTTGCTTTAGTTCCATTTACTGGATTTTTAAGCTTTGATGATGGATTATTAAAAATTTATTTATTCAGCATTTACTTTGGCGATCTTATCAAAGATTCAGAAATGATTTCATCACTTAAATTTAAATGCAGCCACAGCATTTGATTGACATAAGATGTAAATGCAAATTGACAAATTTACTGCATCGCGTGTTCCTTTAAACAAGCACATTTCCTCGCTTCTTATTGTATCAATCAGTTCTGATGCGCAAAGGTTGAGACAACTGAGATGCAGTGTGGCTTCTCTTAAAAATACGAATTTATTAATCTCCAAGTTTCTTTCCATTCGACTCATTAGAATGTTGTTTATCAAGCTTAGTTCCTTAAAATTCTTAAGTCCATACCCGAAAATTTAATTTTTATCTCAAATACAAGACAATAATTAGTCATTGACTTGTGCTGATCAAGTCTTCTTATTCTTACAAGACAGAACAAGTTGTAGCTTGTGATTTTTTTTTTTCAAAGACATGCTGCACATTTTTTTTGTTGTATCGAAACTATAAAAAGAGAAAAGAATACAGAATCGACTTCATGTTTGAACATGACATTGATGGCGTACATAGAAGCAGCAGCAAGTAAAAATCCAATTGTGGAAAGAGACGGGAATAGAGAGAAAAGAGAAAATGTGAATGGTCTAGCAATGTGCCTATTTCTAGGCACATAAATGCAAAAAAAAAAAAAATCTTTTAAGGGCGATGAACTTTAGAAGCCGAAGCAATTTTCTATCATAATTCGATTTATTGAGTTTGGAAGGGCTGAATTTGAATGGAAATAAAATGAGGGTTGGAGTTCACCTTGTTTAAAATGCATTTAATGCTGCTTCACCCCTCAGCAAACAATGCAATATTTATTGGAAGCAAGTGCAACTCACGTCCACAAACAACACTTCTGATCTCGTCACTTCTTCTTTGTCTAAAAATGTGTAATCTTAATTGCTTAATATGTCTCCCAAATATGGAATTATTAAGTTGCAGCAATAAGTCAGCCGACTTTACGAATGAAACCTGCGAATTATTAAGGCATTTATCATTATTAATTGCATTATTTTTTACAATTTCTTTTCATAAAAGATTATCTTCTTTGTAATTTTATAAATTCACAAGTTATTCATAAATGTTAGCATTTTGGTGACCGGTTTTCTTATTTCTGCATTTTATCTGCCGCAGTGAGATGATGTAGAAATTTTATTGACTAAGATACAGGAATGAAGTTGAAAATGGAATTTATCTTTTATTCATGTCCGCGAGAGGGTGCTTTAGATTTTCTAGGTCACATCTATGATTTCACTTGTCTGGGTGATTTTCTAATTATTGATGTAATTAATTAGGCTGAAAATATCGATAAATTCATTGGAAAACTTAATGCATTTTTTGGGATTTGTTCATTTGATTATTTTAGTATGTTTCTCTGAACTGGATCTTAACATAATTTTTATGATATAATTGCTATTAAAATCACATTTTATCAGCTGTGCTTAGTATCTTTTTTTGCTTTTCATTTAGGCAATAAAAATTTCTATGCGAGCATAATTTTAACGTTCACAAAAATTTCAAATCGCTCAGTCAAATGTTGTTTGAATGTATTGGAAGTAAACAAGTAGATATATCTGCCAATCACTCTTGATTTTAACTAATAAGAGCAGGTAATTAATTGTATTAATTATATTACTAATGACAGCATTGTTTAAATATTTTGATTCCTTTAAGAGAGCGCATAAACCATGAAATCGACTTCCTCAACATTTGTTTCGCATTTATTTACTGGCGAAGTTTCCGGACAAACTGTGAATTATCGTATACTAAGGATGCAGGATTCTGTATTTATTTACATTGGAAAGAAGGATGAAGAAGTGCTGGATGGTTTAGCTGTAGGACTTTTATCACCGTATCAAGATCGCGAAGCAGTCACAACATCAATTTTGGAAAGTACAGAATCGTTTGACATTGCGCAAAAGCTTGCCGTAAAGCTCAATAAGCCGGTATTTGTAAGCTGTAATATGAATGTTGATAGATTGATAGCTCCAGTCATCGAATCGCATTTAATTCAAGAGATTAAAGAAAGGCCGGAGTTCTTTTAAAACTATGATCATTCATTCATAATTAAGTTAACTTAATTCACGTGTTATTTCTCTAATTTGTCAACATGCAAGATAATAAAAAGCATAATCAGTTTGATATAAAGTATGCAAAAACTAGTTTTATTATAAGATTTAATTGAGGAAACGGAAAGAAAAAAGGCAAGTGGCAAGTGGCATGCGACATTCCCATCTATGTTGTACTAGCTCTTTAATGTCGATCAAACATTACTGCACTATATTCGGACGCATTGAAAGGAAAATTTTATTTTGTTATGCAATTTTATTGTAGTGAGAGTTTTTTTTATTGCTGCACACAAGAATTGATTATCAATGGATTATGCAGCGTTGATTATGATAATACTGTTGTTTTGTTTGACAATACTTTGTTTTTAAATTATATCAGATCTTTGAACTACCGGATTCAAACGGTGTCTATAAATTCAAAATCTAACGGATATCAAAAATTCAAATGTTTAAAAACCACACAAATGTTAATGATTTTGTGAAAATTGTACGGTTTTAAAATTTGAATTTTCAAAAAAACGGTTGGAACTTTCACTCAATATTTTTTTATAGCAACTTACAATGCAACCCTATAAGACCCAAATAAATATGATTGAAAAGAGAAATGTCTTTTGCCAATTATTACGACGACGACGATTACACAGATTATTAAAATTTTTGATAGATGAATGGTCATGAAAGTAAGACAAATAATCTGATTCGTAAATAAATTAAGTAAAAATAGAGCGTGGCCCTTCATAACAAGTACAAAACAAACGTAAGAAAAGAAATAAAATGAAAATTCAAGCCACTAGACATGCCTAATTTCCTCTAATTGTCTGCAACCGACTGTATAGATAATAATGATTATAATCTTTATTGAAAGTAATGTATTCATCATAGCGACTACATTCGCAATGCCAACAATTGTTTTTGTGTCTGCATAAATTATGCTTGTATCAAAAACCAGATTTTTATATTTACATTACTTCTTTTTGCGTATTCATTCCTCTCTCTCCCTCTGACTGCTATGTATCTATCATATCGTCTCTAAGAAACAATATCTTTCCGTTTGTCCAGCTTGATTGGCTACTGGAATTTTGTTTTATTATAAATAAAAAGCGTCAAGATCTTACCGATTTAGTTATCGTTCAACAAGCAAAGTGGTGAAGTGAAGAGTATATTGTGTAGTTATTATATTTTGTTGCAGTTCCGATCAGAAAGTGTTATTGTGCAGTTATGTTTTTGGTAAATTCCTGCTACTTAGTGTTTTTTTTCTATTATGTATTAAAGTATCTATGAACCTTAAAAAACAATTTAATCACCCAGATTGAGAATTTATTGTGAATATAAAAATGTAAAGGAACTGCCTAGTGAATTTATTAAAATTTTAAACGGATTTTTTGGATTTAAAATATAGTCGAGACACAATCTTGGAGGCAAATATAATCAAAAAAGAAAAAATTGGTCACTAATTCTTACATCATATATCCAACTTTATTGAGAACTGTTGTGAAAAAAATATCCAAAAATATTAATTAGTGAAATTTTACTGACTAAGTTGGTGAATTTTAAAATCTGGCCAAGACACAATCTGTTATAAAATTTTTAATTCAAAATTTCCGTTAATGATTTAAATGTCTTCTTCCATTATCTGTGTAATCTGCCACCTTAAAATATTGTACAACACGTGCATTATGCAAAAGCTCTTAAATAAACATTTGAAGAACAAACAAAGCTGACAAAAAATATTCATTTTGACATTAACCACATCATTTTCATTTCTATTATCACACAGTTCGTAATTTTTATGGCCTTTTGTGCCAATGCGTTGGCTCAGACAGCACATCAAGCATCCATTGAAAGTGATTTAAGAACAGATTTAAATGCACCACTAGCGTCTAGTTTATCGCAATATTATCAACCACCAGCATTGCTTCAAATTCAGTTATTAAAACAGCAACAAGAACAACTTCAATCACCTCAAACTTTAGCCCAATTACTTGGAATTTATCAGGCTCAACTTAATCAACAGAAGCCACAACAACATTCTCTTCATCCAGTCCAACAAACTCAAATCAGTCCTTTTTTATATCTCGGCCAGTTTACATCATCCGATACGGGGGAGCAGGCCAGAGCCAGCCAATACAACAACAATCAACAACCACTGAAGCAACAACAAAATCAACCAAAGAGAAAAAGCGACGACCAAAATACACAAAATCAAGAAAGAAGCTCATACGCTTTGTATAGACCATCACCAGAGGAATCACATGAATATGTCGACTTAGCACCACCAGCTATATCCAATGAAGAACCAAATTATTATGCCATGCTTCATAAACCAAGAAAACAAAAGAAATTTGTCGAGGAAGTTGTGACAGACAAGAAATTAAAAGCTCGTAAGGATACTCTAAACCTAAAGCATCAAATTAAGCGCAATGAACCTGAACTAATACAAAATAATAATAATGATGAGCATAATGAGCATGATTTACTAACAGAATCAACAGATTATGTTGAACAAAGCGAACCAACATCTCGTCTTGATTTTCAGATGCATGGTAATTAACAATACTAATTTCTAAGTACAATACTAACAAGTTCCGTTCCAAAAATAAGATTTAATAAGGTCAATGATGTGCATAATAGATAGTTTGTGATTTATTGGTGTCAATTTTAAAGTCTATGACGATTCTCGTCACGTGACTAATCAGATCTGCATCCTAGTGTCAATATCTATTCAAAGAATCAGTTCTTTGAATGAAATTGGATATGGATTAAGATAAAAATCATTCAATAAACCGGTCGTGTCTAAATATAAAGCTAGATTCTCAAGAAATTAAAACTAGGAACCAGATTTTCGCACCTTAAAAAAGCTAGTCGCGTGCAAGACATAACTTTTGAAACATTTAAATATCTTATAAGACACCGGAAGAACTAAATTATGCAGTTATTGGTATTTTCGTACTAACTCTCATGGACTGAAAATGATCAAAATTACCAAAGATCAATTAATTGTCAGTCCATGTTAACACCAAATAACATTTGACTAATAAAACTACTAAATTGACCTAACAATTAAAGGACATAAAGGACCTAAGAGCTATAAGTTTGGATATGACTTTGGATCGAATGCTGGGTAACAATTAACAAGATTTTTTTTGAATAAAATGTGGGTATGGACGAGTGGAAGTGGGTTCAGGAATGAAGGGATATCCTCTAAGTGGCACTTCCAGCCTCCAAACCCAATATAAAGCCCCAAAATTGCACGATTATTAATCCACAAACCAATTAACATAGATTAAACCGTCAATTTCGGGTAGAAGAGAGAGATGAGAATGGTGATGTTCATGGACAGTATGGATATTATGACAGAACAGGAAAACCAAAAGTTGTCAGGTACTCATCCACAGCAAAAGATGGCTTTAGAGTTCATTCCTAGATTTTATTTCTTCAACTTTATTTTTTAAAATAAAACTTGTTTGTGATATTTTTTAAATAGCTTTAAGACTTTCCAAAGCTTCCGTACCTTAATTCGGAATGTATTATTTTCGTTAAATAAAATCGAATCTTTTTCAACACTTACTTAATACGAATTTTTCAATATCATCAAGTAATCCAGAGGCTCCAAAACGGAACAAATGTGGATCCAAATATTCCATACCCAATGTCTCTTTTATCATAATCAGCCATTGAATGGAATCATCAACCGTACGTACTCCACCAGCGGGCTTCAATCCAATTTTCTTTCCAGTTTTACGATAAAATTCTTCTATAGCACGAATCATGCACAATCCGACATTTAAATTAGCATTAACACTTTCCTTTCCTGTACTTGTTTTAATGAAATCAGCACCGCCCATCATACATATCATTGAGGCTTTGTAAACATTATCCATCGTTCCACATTCTCCAATTCCTAATATTGCTTTCAAATGTGCACGATTTCCGCAAGCTTTACGCATTTCAACGACTTCCTCGTAGAGTTTCTTCCATTGATGTGTTAATACGAGACTTCGGTCGATGACAATGTCAATTTCTGTTGCACCGCTGTTTATTGCATAAGTGATTTCGTCGAGACGAGATTGCAAGGGATATAAGCCTGTTGGAAAACCAGTAGCGACTGTGAAATATCATAAATTTTTATTAGTCTTTAGTCGATGCATTAAATCATGTTCAAAATTGAATTTAATTGATTAAAATGAAAGCTGCTAATCTTAACGGACTTAAGAGATTTGAATTTAATGTTTTTTTTTTAACGAAACACGTTTGAAAATTTATCGAAGCATTTTTAAATATTCATTGACTGTTAAAAATCAAGGATCCGTTCCTCAAAAATTATCAGTACAATACACTTGGATCTTATGAAAAAAAGAATCACTGTCATGCTTAACATCAATAAATAATTACCTGATGCAATCTGAATTTTATCCAGCATATTTAATCTCTTTAACGTGTCATAAGCATCTTTGACCTTTGTTGGATAGACACAGACAGCAGCGACATGAAGTTTTTTCAAGAACTCGTTAGAATCATTAGTAATGGAATGTTTATAAAATGGATAGCAAGCACGAATACACAGTCTATCGACATTTGATGTACAATCATCACCGGCTAATGTTGTTAAATCTGTCAATGTCAGGGCCTTTAAAGCAAATCCAACTTTATTGGCATCGGAAGTGACTTCGCATGATGATACTATCAATTTTACAGATGCTTCAAGGCCACGAAGATTTACATGAACATTTTCGAGCCATGATTCCTCTAAAAATGGATAAATTTGCATGATTTAACGATCTTTTTGAATAATTTGATGTATCTTACCGAATGGAATTGTTTCGTTAACTTCAAATTCAGGCATTTTTATGAAATTTCAGAAAATTTTGAATTTTTCTGCCGGTTCCAACAATTTGGACTGTATAAACATTACAGTCAATGCTCGATATGCGACACCCCAAAAACATTTACGTACGCATTTAAAAAAATACGTTAATCACATGCTTAGAGAAGAGAAAATGTCAAGGCCACAAGCACGTACGAGAACAAACATTGATAAGACGCATATTTACCCAGCACCAAGCAAAATAATTCATTCTTTCAGAAGATTTTATTGCATTAAAATAAACATTTTAAGGTTTTTCATAATCTTGATATGAACACAGAAAAAATTAAGAAATTAATATTCGAAAGGAATTATGGATATTACTTCCATTTTTCCCAAAGTTGCCAATATTCAGCTGTTTGCATTTCCCTCAATCTCGACTTTGTGCGTTCAAATGCAAACAGTTCTTCCTCGCCTGTAAAGACGTTGGCAGATAAGTCAGCCTACAACAAAGTCAGAAATATTATTATTGAATGTTCTTATCAAGAAATGGGATCAAAATAATGATTGGAAATGGAAAGTTCCATCAAGTAACAATATTATTATTTTGACAAATTTCACAGCTTCTTATGGCATTTTCATATGTTTATTTGCCATTTATGATATCACTTTGTTGTTTATTAATCAACATCTGTTTGCAACACGCTCTTCTATTACAAAATAAGATGCTACGCAATTTTCTGTGATGACAGAATAAATTTAAACTTTTAACGGTTTTTTGAGATTTAAAAGTTTAACGAAACTTGGATTCAAAAGTTATCAGACTTTTAAAATAATTAATCTTTAAAACAGGATGCAGAATAACGATGGGGGGTAAAATCCCCGAAAGATATTAATTCCACGATCCTGCGGGATAATAACCCCGAAAATCGCAAATTTTTAAATGTTCCCTGCGGGATAATATTCTCACTTAGAAATACACGTGGAATTATTATCCTTCCGGAAAGATAATAATCCCACCAATAATTACAAGTGGGATTATTATCTCCCAGGTAGATAATAATTTCACTTACATTTCTAAGTGGGATTATTATCTTTATGGAACACGATTAAAATTATGGATTAAATCAAATCCAAAAACTTATTTGTCATAGTGGATAATAATTCCACTTGTATTAATAAGTGGATTTATTATCTAATAGGATTTTCATCCAAAAAAAATCCCACTTATTAATTTGTCAATTTCATTATTCCAAAAACTTAAATAAGAAGAAAACATAAATATTGGTTGAATGTTTAAGTTGAAAACTTGGTTTTTTATGCCTTTTGTAAATTTTCTAAAAGCCTAGAGCCTTAAAGATGTTTAATGTATCAAAGATCTTTTCACTCAAGAAATCATATTCACACAAAATTTTCAATTTTTTGTTTTTGCAAATAGTTTTGAAATGAAGTCTTTCAAAATTTAAAACGTGCGCAACTAATAAATCACGTTTTTATCATTTTTGTCATTGGCAAAATTTGAGTTCACGTGATGCAGGATAGAGGATGCAGGGTTTTTTGCTTTTTTGGAAGCAATGGTTGTTTCTACCTTACTCAATAAAAAAATAAAGCCTTATCCTTTTTAACGCAGCAAGAATCAAAATGCAATAATTAGAAGTCTCTAAGATGCCTCGTTATTGAGATTTTTGCTGATTTACTTGCCTTGATGCTTGTTTGCTTACCTATCATGCGATTTTCTCATCAATGCTACAGCCAATTTAAATTCTGTTTTGCCCATTTGCCTTTTTTCCTCAAAATGCGAAAAACTGTTTTTCAAGCTGAACAAAAATAAAGTGTATACGGTGTGAATATAAAATCTATTTTAGGATATAAAATTTTTTTATATTCAAATAGTTTTCACGTGTGAATCTATTGGTTTTGTTCAGATTGAAAAATCAGTTTTTCGCATTTTTTGAGAAAACGAAGCAAAATTGGTTATAAAAGGTCACAGAAGAAAAGTTTGTGCCTGAAATTTTACATCATTTTCAAAAAACAGATTTCAAGTTGGTTGTGGCATTGCTCAGAAAATCGCAAAATACGCTTTCTGTAAGCAAACAAGCAAGCAAGCAAGTTAATCAGCAAGAAATCTCAATAACGAGACATCGTAGAGACTTCTAGTTTTTTACATTTGATCCGTGCTGCTCTATAGAAGAGCTGTATTGTTTTTGGGCAAGGTAGGAACAGCCGTTGCTTCAGAAAAAGCAAAAAACTTTCCTTTCTTACGAATTTTTTTAAAACAAAAGTTGACTGTGATTTTTATAAAATTCAACTTTGGATGTAAAGTTTTTTTAAAACACTTTTAAAGAATGTTCGTTAAGCTTTAGATCTTCAAACTTATGCTGAGCGAAGCTCAGCTGACTTTCGCTAGCTTTATATCTTCAAACTTATGCTGAGCGAAGCTCAGTTGACTTATCAAGCTTCATACTGCTTCATACCTTCATACTTATGCTGGGAAAATCTTGGTCTATCCATTAGACTTTTGATGGTACGGTGTGAATATAATCCGCATTGGGTTTCTGCCCGATACACTAGTTCTGACAGGTTTTATTTTAAGCTTTTCTTCAAAAGAGCTCAAGTTTGAAAGAACTTACAAAATATTACGTTTGAATTTTGTACGAATCACTTTAATTTGCTGAACATTTTCAATAAATTTGTGGCCATCAGTTTGTTTAAGTAACCCTGTATACCTGAATAATCAGAATAATTTCGAAATTTTGAGATTATAAACAATCAAATCTCTTAAATGTTCTAAAACCATTGGAAACCTTCTTGAGGCTTGTAGACACGGTTAAACAGCATCAGAACTGCCATCATTTTAAAATTCTAGTTAATTTAATAAGAATTTGAGCAACAAAATTTTAATTTTGCGTTCTTTTTATGTTTAAATCTCTACATTTTTCTTAGCAAAATGTATAAACAAATATTATGATTAGATTTATAAATCTAATTTTGTTAAGGGCAATTTACAATTATTTGAATGACTTTTGGAAAATTTCAGGAAAGAATCGAAAATTTATTATTTTTCCCATTAGAGGTTAACATATCTACTTCTAAACATTTGAACAAAACTGTGATTTTTAAACAGTTAAATGAATGAAGTGAAACAAAATGGAATTACGGCTACATTTTCTTTAAACATTCGAGCGAATTTCGAACATAATTTTATATGGAATAGCAAACATCTTTAGATCAGTTGAACCCACCTTGATTTTATTTTTTAAACAATTTGGAATAATATATTTTTAAAAAGCAAACATTCAACCAATATTTATGTTTTCTTCTTATTTAAGTTTTTGGAATAATGAAATTGACAAATTAATAAGTGGGATTTTTTTTGGATGAAAATCCTATTAGATAATAAATCCACTTATTAATACAAGTGGAATTATTATCCACTATGACAAATAAGTTTTTGGATTTGATTTAATCCATAATTTTAATCGTGTTCCATAAAGATAATAATCCCACTTAGAAATGTAAGTGAAATTATTATCTACCTGGGAGATAATAATCCCACTTGTAATTATTGGTGGGATTATTATCTTTCCGGAAGGATAATAATTCCACGTGTATTTCTAAGTGAGAATATTATCCCGCAGGGAACATTTAAAAATTTGCGATTTTCGGGGTTATTATCCCGCAGGATCGTGGAATTAATATCTTTCGGGGATTTTACCCCCCATCCAGAATAACTTGCATCCGAAATAAACATACAGCAATATTTGGCATTGAAATTGTGAATGTCTTGCCAAATTTTAGATGCATACAATATTGTTCGTTATTATAAGTCAGGAAATAAAAACTTACAGAATCTGACGATAATGCTAGGTCATCCATAAGTGCTCTGTTTTCATCTTGTAAGTAAATATCAGAGGGCTTCTCATCAGAGAATAAGAACTTGAGAGGTACTTCGGCAGAGACAACAACCTGAAATTTATTTTCTTCATTAATCAAGTCATCGTACATAACAACATCTATATCCAACTTACTCTCACTCTATTGTCATAAAGAGAATCAATAAGGGTAATAAATCTTCGAGCTTGATTTTTTCTCTTAAAATTAAGTTGTGGGACATAACGAATGATAATTGTATGGAAGTACTGAGCCAATTGTACATAATCACTGGCACCGAAATCTCGACAACAAATCTCATCGAATGTTGTGTCCAAAATTTGTCCACAAGTTTTCTCAAATGTGATGTTACGTCCAAAATGAGTAATTGTCTTGGGTCTAATGATGTCATTTTCTTGTGAGCATAAAACTTTGAATATTACATCAATTTGACAGTCTGCTTCAGAGTCATCATCGCTAAAAAGTTGATTTATAAAGTTATTAAAAGATTGAAATTTTTTAACGGTTTTCAAATTTTCAAAATACCGAACTTTTCAAATTTGAATTTTGCAGCGTCGCTTTTCGTTAAGATTCAAAAAATAAATGGTTGTTAGTAATTTAAATCCTATATGACGGTTAGAATGTTAATAAAAAAAATTAGAACTAAGCTTTATGAAGCAATAGCTTGTGAAAATAATGAAAAAGCGTAATTTTGAGCAAGATTATGAGACTTATGTTTGCGTGATTAATTTGCAGGCTGTTACTTAAATAATAAATAATAATAAGAGAACTCACACAAAATAATGCTCTCCGACTCCTTTATTCGTTGAACGATAATCGATTCCAGAATCTAGCTGAGCTACTTGACAATGATTTTTAAGTATCGGAATGAACGGAACGAAGTTGCTTCGTTGTAAACCACCTTTGTAAAGATCATCAGGTTTTCTATTGCTTGTAGCAATCACCACAACACCTTTATAGTATCAAAAATAAGATTATATCCATCAGATTATTGAAAATCAATCCTTCAACTCACCATAATCGAATAGTTTTGTGAATAGACGTTTAAGTATCATTGCATCAGCAATGTCTGTAACTTGAAATTCATCAAAACAGATGAGCCAAGCTTTCTTCTTGATGATTTGAGCCACAGGTGTGATAGGATCAAAAGGCCTAAGAACATTGCTCTTTGCACCAGTTTCGCGATATTGCTGCTGTTTGATGCGGTGAATTTCTTTGTGAACGTCGGTCATGAACGAATTAAAATGTGCACGTGTCTTGTGTGTTATCTAAAAATAACGGAAACTTATTTTTGTTTACATGCATCACAACTTTAAATCTTAAAATAGATCAATAAGCAAGCAAGTGTCACATACATTTTCACAACAATCGAAAAACATATCCATTAACATTGTTTTGCCACCTCCTACCGATCCATAAATATACAACCCTTGAAGTCTTTTCGATGGATCTAGTCGATTTTTGGGCTGGTTCATAAATGGCAACCACTTTGTTAAGACATTATTATTTGATGATGATGGAATGATATCTGGTGGATGATAGCTGTGGATTTGCTCATAAATCCTTTGCAGTTCTTGTGCAATTTTCATCTGATGGTCGTCATGCTTCAGCTCATTGCTGTCGTATTTTCTTTTAAGAACACTTAATGGACCGTCTGTGGATGATTAATTATGATAATCAAGTTCCGGATTATGTGACAAACCTTACCATCACTCGAAAAACAGCATTTTGATTGCTTATAAAAATAATCTGATAACACACGATTGTTAAGTTTATTCAAATTTTTAAGTTTAGTCAAGTAGAACATTTTTGAACACGTATAAGCACCAAAATTTCATTTTAAATTAAGAAGACGCACTTCTTCGTTATATAAAATTGAGTTTATAGCCAAAAAACTGGTTATAAAGTCATTCATCATTTATTGGTTCCGCGACATTAGCGCATTTTTCAAATTTAATTATTTTTTATTGTTTGATTTAATCTGTTTGAATGTCATAATAACGGAGATTTCAAATTTGAATTTTATGAAATTTTTGATCGCAATCAACTTGATTTTGAATTATTTCAATTGAATTTTCAAAATCATTTGTAATTTTAATTAAATCAAGTGCTTCGGAAGCAAATATTCAGTTCAAAATCAATTATGTTACGTAGTAAAATGTGCAACAGCTAGGCCAGTCAAAGAGAAAAGCAACAAAAACAAACAGGTAAAGAACAAAATAGGATTTATCAGCTGCTAGGGGAGAATCAACTGTTTTTCCCACGAAAAAAAGATTCAAAATAAAATCAACGGTTTTGATCTCATAATTATTTCATTTTTTATTTTTTTTTAAATAGGTAATAAGACATGGAAAACAACAAAGAGGGAAATAGAAGGTAACAAAAATCACAGTCTAAGATGCTTGGTAAGTGGAAAAAAAGAAAGATATAATTCAAAGGAATAATAGATAAAGTAGAAAGAGCAAGAAATTTTAGTTTCCAGTCCATAATCCTAAGTAGTTAAGTCTCTTTCTCTCTGCCTCATCAATTGCATAATTTGGATTGTTTCGTCTTCTCTCTTCTTGCAATCTGATACCAGCATAAATGAGATCAAGACCTTTTTGAATCTCTGGTGAGACTGGTGGTGGTGTTGGTAAATGATCTCCCTGAACTCTGAAGCCATTCTCATCAGCTTGATATTCTACATTGATGATCTGAAAGTAATAATTACAATGAAAATTACTTTTTATTGCTTTTTATGGTAAAATAAATGTTTACGATCAATGATTATGCAACAATTCATCTTACCTGTCCGTCAGGAGTTTCGTATGAATAGCTTCCCTTTTGGACTAAAGTACCATCACCGTCTTCATTAATGTCTTTAAAAAAGCCACTTTCCTCGGCTACAATATTATTACCAGTCTCATAGCTAAAGATGAAATGAAAAAAATAAGTTAATGATAGTCATTAATCATTAAATTCCATTTGTTGAACTCGAAAGCAATCTCTGCATTATCACTTACTGAGTCTTGTAATTTCCATTTATTTCTTGCTCTTTATCATATTGGATAATTGGAATGAACGTTGTTGTTTCATCTGTCCTCTTTTGATAATTTTGGTTTTGATTCTGTCTACGAGCTGGCTGATCATAATCATCATAATCTTGTGGTCGAGCACTGACCACTAATGCAAAAGCTAACACCACAATCTAGAAAGTTAGGTGATAATTAATTTAAGTTTGGAGTTATGAGATTGTTATGATTTGCAGCCGCAAAATAAATAAAATACTTTAAGATTTGTTCAAAGAATGACTGATTGATAAAGGGCTTGTTGAATAAGGGTCAGAAATCAAAAAATGTTTACGGTTTTCTCTTTTCCTGGATATCTACGTAATTATCTCAATAGTAAGTGTTATAAAGTTTTTGAAAACGTGCATTTTCATGTGCATAACATATCACAAAGTCTTTTAATTAACCCAGAAAATCCAAAACACTATCGATTTCTGACACTGAAAAAAAGTTCCATTATTTTGAATTTTCACAAAAAATACTAATAACTTTGCCAAAACTTCATTACAAGATACAAAAATTATACTGAATTGTAGGATTTTCAATTCCTTCTAATCCTTTGATATTAAAATCTTCAAAAAGCTTGTTTAAATTAGTTAAATTAATGATTTTTCTGAAAAACTTTTTTCATAACGGTCAAAATTTGAATTATTCCATTCGTTTGTTTACATCACAAAAAAATATGTAAATTGAAAAAATCGTTTAAAACGCATTAATTACACATATTTGGAAGCTGAAAAATCAGGAACAGATCAAGAAAAATTTATTGGATGCATTACAATGCTCAAAAGAAAACATTGATATTAATTTAAATGATATTTTGCAAGATAATTTTTCATTTTATTGAAGGGGAAAGTAACAAAAATTGAATATCAAAAAATCCGTTGAAATTCAATTGAACTTTTTATTCGACCGAGCCCTAAAATATTTGCCGGTATTGAAAGAAGGTATAGGATCAAATCAGATAGATTTCTTGTTGAGAATCAATCACTTAATGTCTCTAATCCTGAATTAGACATTTAATCACAAGGAACAAGTTCAGTTATGCGAAAATACAAAGACTCTTAGTAATTAGCAGAGGGCGAAGTCGACTCGGATTTTGTATGGAAAAGTCGACTTGAGTTCACTCGACTTCATACAAATTTCGAGTCGACTTCGCCCTCTGCTAATTAGATTAAATTATATTGTTTGTTTTATCAAGCTGGGCTAGATTATGAAATATTTTAAAGAGTTTCTGGTTGTCTATAATAAGACAATGATAAACTAAAGTATAAACTCAATTACTGAGTAAAATTCTCGAAATTGCTTATAAAAATTCTTCCATCCACACTTTATGCTTCAAAAGAAATAACTGAATTCAGGTCAATCTGCAGAAAACCACAATAATGATGTTTTAATCATTGGGTCAAAATCACAAAACTGTCAGGAACGAACTTGCAATATTCACTTAATTAAATGTCCATTTATACTGCATAGCAATCTCGATGATCTTTTTCTGTTTCAATATTTTTATTTTTTTATTTCTTCTTATTTATTTCTCGTTATTTTTAAAACGCGATGCTTTTTTCCATAGGTGAACAACGATTGCAAAATATTGTTTTTTTTTTTATGAATATCACTTACAATAACTTTCATTTCGTCACTAAATAATTCAATATTCACACGACAAACAAATGTGTTTTATCTCTGAGACGTCTTCAGACTATTTAAACCGTCTTCTAAGAAAGTGAATTTCAAACTGCAGAAATGGGGGATTGATTTTGACTTTATATAAGATTTTTTTTTTGTCATGTTCATCATCAAATATACTACTATCATTCCATAACACACCACGTGCATCATTTGAAAATGAAAAGCTTTTTTTTTCTCTTAAAAAACCGCGTACAATGACATCTCGCACCTATGTCTGTACAAGTCAGAGCGAGAGAGCTGCATACAGTCACTGTTTATTCACACAAAAAAAAATTACTCACTCAAAATACCAAATTGGTTCGAAATAGTAATCATTGTTATTGTTTTTGGGTTTGATTGGTAGTTTGGTTGGATGGTAGGAAGAAGTGAAAAATGTGAGAGAATTAATTTTGCTTCCTCGCGAGAAAGCTCAGTTGTAGATGATATAATTTTTTTTAACCAGTCGATCTTCGACTCAATGCTGAAACTGTTGGAATTAAGAAAGAGAAAATACCTGGAAAATTGTAAACTATTTGCACAGAATGTCTAGCTATTAGATTATCAATGCTATTGGGAAAAGTTCAATGCTTCATAAAACTGAATAGCTTGAGCAGGCTTGAGAAATTATTGAATTTAAGTGAACTCCATTAATCATAAAATTCCACTAGAAATTATAAGGAAATCATGAACAGCAATAAATTTACTTTGAAAATTATTCAAAGTTCAATACTTTGTAGCATGAGCTTAGAATGTCTTCGACTGTAAACTCTTAAAATATTAAAGATGACTGTCGAGTTTATTGTTTTCATTTCTTAGGGATACTCAACCTTTTGTGATGAGAAAGTTTCTTAAAGATTTTCAAGTCAAAGCTAATCGAATTTCCACCAACAATTTCTGATTCAACAACAATCAATGTCTTTTAATTCTCAGAAACCTATTCAACATCCCAAAGTTGTTCAATCATGAGTAAATGTAAAGTTGCGTACATTATTTTTTTAAAAAAACCCATACCTTGATTACATTTCTCATTCCTATTTCACAACAATTCCTTCTAGCTTTAAAACCACAATAAATACCGACTTAATGGATGCATAATGTAAAACAAATTTATTCAAATAAGAAATCAAATAAAAACTACGTCGCTTACATAATTTCTTCATCATCTAACTCATCACATCCAACAAAAAAAAAAAAAGAGTTGAAATTAGATTAAACATAATTAAATTTATTAATATTACAAAATCAATTCTACATTTTTTTTACATTCATACCAACTTTAAAGCTATTAAAGAGCGATCTTTTATGCGAAATTGCATGAGAAGAAAAGAAATATAGAGAGAAGTAAGAGAAAAAGTGCGGAGCCTATAATTTTGAAATTGTTTAACAATATTAAATGTCATCGTTTGAATAAATTATTAGATTTTTCTGTCATAGACATTTACTAACCTCTTCTCTCATACTGTAACTGTGAACAAGAGTGTAACTATGCCGGCGTTATAAAAATTAGCAATACATGAGCAATAAACTGAAATATAGTTTTCATAAAGTCAGCTGTAAATATGTTAATGTTTTTTTTGGGTCGTTTATGAATTAGGTCTGATGAAACTTTGAATTTATGGTTCTTGTAGATCTCCCTAAAACTGTCATTTGTGTATGCTAATGTAAAACAAGTCGGGTTCGATAGGAATCGAACCCACGACCTCAAAAGAGGCGATCTCTTAGCCCTATGCTCAGTCCTTTCTACTACAGATATGCTCTTTGAGCCATTTCCATAGTCCTGATAACTTCTCAATCATCTTTTGCTGCAGAGTTGATTGTCACACATTTATAGACTTTAATCACCAATTTTTCATGAAAATCTACCAAATGTAGGACGTCACAAGCGTACTTCTCCTTCCTACCCATTTCAACTTGTCTCTTCTTGTAGGATGAGACATGCAACAGCTTTTTTGATTTTTATTCAAATTTTTGCCATTCTTTTTAACTTTATTTGGGGATGGGATTAGAGATGGGCTCAATGCTGAATATTATTTGATGAGAAAAGCTTTTGGAATTTATTGTGAAATGCAACATTGTGCATAAAAGTAACAAGAATGAGAATCTCGCATCTTTTCAAACAATTGACTATAGATTCAAACTAAAACTATTGTCTTTAGTCATCAATGGAACAGAAGTGAAGCATTTTGATTTACAATTCATTAAGATAACCTTAAAATCAATTGGAATGTCACAAAAGACTATAATGTAGAGTAAAAGGACATTATCATAAATGATTTCATGTTCATCCTCATTCATGGACATAAATGAATGTATTTCAAAGACATCACACAAAAGACACAAAGTTGCATATTGAAATAGCCCATTTGAGACCTAATCGGCTTTTTGCAGACCAATAAAAAAATTGCCACAATACAAGTATCCACCTACAGTAATTTACTTGAATCATGATCATCATTATAATGGAACTTTAAGCTTTGCGGCATCTACAATACATTGTCCCGTTTATACATTTATTAATTTTTTTTTCGATAGTCATTATTGCATAATATTGGAAATTGTATGATTATGATTTGTTTGTCATAGTAATTTACATGACATTATGCAGGCTTGTTATGATGATCATTCCTTTTTATATCCAAAAAAAAATGCCTTTTGAGGCTAAAAGGAAAGAAATATAAATTCATCTTTATTAAATATTAATTTCATATAAAAAACTTATGCAAATTCATTTTATGGAACTCCAAATATTAAGTGCAGACGTGGATTATGTGACATGATATTTAAACGAATGTGACATAACTGAACCAATCCACCACTGACCCCCAAAAGAGATAAAACTCTAAACTTCCGAACATTACGGGATGACATCCAGCAGATTTTTGATGACGGCAAGAGATAATAAATGAAAAGATGATTACATGTTTTGTGAGTGAATTTTCAATTCATCAAGTTCAACGACATAACCGAAAAAAAAACCCAAACAAAAGAAAAAGTAGACTCGATTATGCAATAGCTGATGATCATTACCGAAGTGAAAAAGGAAGGAAGAAATTTAACTTAAATCACAACATTTACATACAAATTGGTTTTAGATTTAAATGCTTAATTTTACTGTCTTGAACGATGCATGGGCAGCAACATAATTTTAAATTTATTTCACAGCATTCAATTTGCCAAATCGCTACTTTATCACGCCACAAAGATGAAATTAATTGAGAATAAAATTAATATGAAATGATTGTAAGCAGTCATTCAGATATTGCTGCAATATGAATAAATTACAGATATTAATGGATGCACATTCTTGCATATATGGCAGTACTCCATGCTGTCATAATGTGTACTAGTGAAGTAAATTACATTTAAATATGCAATTTTAAGAGATAAACATCTTAAAAAGGTGGTGTTCGATAAATCATCGTTAAGCAGGTCTTCAATTTGGAATGTATTGTTTTAGGTAGGCAGCGGTTTCAGCTTGAAGATTTGATGAGGAAAAAATGATGAGGTCGGTTTGGTTCATCGTTGCTAAGCTTGATTCAAACCATAAAAGTCACTAATTGTTAAACTTCACGTTACTTCTTTAAAACCAATGGACCATGAACCACTATTTAAAATTAACTTCTGTAAATGTCATCAATTCGATGTAAAAGAAAATCTACATTCAAGACATAAATTCGAACGAATTAAAGATTCACAAAAACTCATAAAAAATAAACAAAGCATCATTAATAAAGGTTATTAATAAACAACAGCTTGACAAAAGCAAATATTTATTGTTTACTAATAAACCTTTACGCGTAACGCATATTGAGCACATCAATGATGCCAAGATCAATGCATGGAAGTTTTTCTGTAAGAAAATCTCAAGTTCAAAAGCACAAAAAGTTTCAATTTTTTCACAGCAACATAAGTAAAAAATCTTTATTGATTATTTACAGCAAGCACCAAAGTAAAAAAGTTAATTTTTCAATTCACTTTAGTCCAAATGATAATGTCATAGCCAAATATCTCAAAAAATTCCGAATCGATGATGTTGAAACCGTGAAATTATAGACGATAAAAATTTACACTAATTAATTAAGCACATATAAGGATGGATAGATGACCCAAAAAGTCTACGGTGAAACTGTCAAATTTATAACTTGTCTGTTAATCCACACACTATGAGGAATCCCAACGTAATCGCGTTAAAGTTATGCAACTTTTAGCGGTTTTCAGTATTTTTTTTTTATATCCATCGCTCTCGCGATCTCTTTTTGCGACATCTTTAAGTCGTTGTGCCTTGTCGTTGTATTAAATTCAATTATGGATGAGGCAAAGAAGAAGAAGCAGCAACATGCAAGACTTCTTTTTATTGTCGTTTAATTTTCTTTAACCTTGATTGTCTTTTCTTTTACTCTATCATCGTCGTCATGATCACCAGCCTTATTTATTCGAAAGGTTTAAATTTATAAAATTTATAATGTGTGAAAATTAACTGTATGAGTTGTATCCGACCTTGAAATCCATACTTTTGAGATTTCATCATTTCATTTTATTCCATGTAAATTGATGGTAAACTTGTTACATTGTTGCTTGATATTTTTTCATCTCTTTCGATCCACTTGATGCATTTTTGTATTTTTTGTGATTAAACTTACTGCTCAATTAAAATTTTTATAGAAAATATATATTTTTTGTGACTTTTAAGGTTTTTTTGTGCATTGGTTGACTTTCTAAAAATTCATTGAATTACTTCTTATCGTCTTGCAGCTGGTGCAACTGGGAGATGGGCACCTATTGAAGAGAAAATAATGGAATTTATTAGTAAAGATCGTTAAAAATTATTTTTATGCCTAGAAGTAGTTCAGATTGATATTAAGCTGAGCATTTTAAAGTAAAGTTGATACAAAAAATCCCCCAAATGACTCTAATCCCCAGATTAGTCTCTAAATGATCACGATACAGTGTCTCAACATTTAAATTTTATAAAAGACATAATCGGCTTTATGAGTAACTAGAGCTGATAATTTAATTTGTTTTTTTGCAGCTGATTGGTGTGAAAACATAAATTTACGTTAATTCACACGAATATCTTTATTGGCTGTTTCATTCAGAAATTTTTGAGTGAATAAGTGTGTCAGGCAAATAAATATGATAAAATCTTTTGACTAATATCAAGTCACACATAATTCTCAGAATGATTGACTAAATATCAAAGTCGTGAACTTGAAATAATCATATTTGTTTGCTAAATCTTTGGGATGATCGAAATCGGGGAATCTGATTTCTCAAAAGTTCTAGACCGATTTTATAGCTTCAATAACTCGAACTTACCTTGTGGTTGGAAACCGTTCTCATCAGCGATCCAGTTGACTTGGATGTTCTGTCCATCAGGAGCTGTGTATGAGTATGTTCCCTTTTGGACTAATCCCTTAGCTTGTTCAGTTCCAACAACTTGACCATCTTCACTGTATTTTGGTACACTAATATCCTTTAGTGATCCTGCAGCTTGTTCATTAATTCCATCACTAGTCTTGAATGCGAAATTGAAGTTTCCTACTCCATCATCATCAGCTGTGTATTCAAGAATTGATGCAGATGTAGTGCTTGGATCTTGTTGTTGTGGACGAGCCAATGCTAAGGTTGCGAAAGCGAGTACTACGAAGAACTTCATTTTGATTTCTTTAGTTATTTTTTAAAAAAATATTTCTACTGAGTATGAACTGTTTTGGTTGAAGATTGAAGTTGAACTGATATGACTATTCGATACCTTAACACTTTTATATTGCACTGCTTATTTACTCAAGTAGTTAGCATCTTTTTTTTTCGTGGTATATTCATGATACATCGTATGTGGAACTGTTGTTGCATTGCCCTTCTACATACATGCGAAATACATGACGATTATAATAAAAAGTTGCAGAATTTCAATCTCGTTATATTCATTCATATGATAATCTGAAATTGAGGTTCCAGATTTCAATTTCGATATGTAAAGCGTATGATAATTTTGATATCATTTTTGTCCTTGAAGGCTACTGTATGTATTTCGCTGAATTATAAATTTTATAATTAATGTCGGTCTAAAATGTCGAGTTGAATTTGTGAAATCATTCATGACATTTAGATTATTTCTTGCATCTTTTAATGTGAATGAATTTTCGATAGCTTTAATTCTTGAAGTAAAATGAATAATTCTCGACACAAAAGTTCGCCCATGACAATTAAGAACCTCTAAAGTCTGAGAAATCCCTACAAAAAAAGTCATTCCATTGTGAGAATAAAATGCAGAGAATGCATCAACAGGTCAGGAGGAAAAAGAAAAAGTTATAGTAATTTCAATGTCTCGTCGTGGTTAATAAAAAAAGTTATAAAGTGAGATAATGCAGAGGTCTTTTCAACGGGTACATTTGGTTAAGTAAGTGCACAATTCAATAAATTCATCTCCTGATTAAAGTAAAAATTGCATTTTGCAATGATAATTAAAATTATATCCAAGTTTGATGGTCTGGACTACTTAGTGTTTTAATCAAGGGAAATTAAAAAAAAGTCATTAATTTTTTATAGAAAAAAGAAGTTATAGAAAATCCAATTTTATTTCATGACGATCAAAACAATTAAAAATTTTTTTAACATTAAAATTCTCAATTAAGAATCTTGTAACGTAGATGATGTAGTAGCTTGATGAGTATGTAGTAAAAAATAAAAACAGCTTCAAATCCTCTTATTGGTTGTCCTTATGAGGAGGAAGAGACTTAAGATATTCAACAGCCTTGGCGATTTCAGCTGGAAATGAAGAGAGCAAAAAACTAGTTTTAGGTCACTTGCACTTTCACAAGACGTCTTGTTTCTCTGTATGAGAAGGTTCTTCATGCAGGAAATGTAAAATGTTTTTTTTTTCTTTTCTGTTAAAATTTACGATCAATATTCACAAGAGTTTTAATTTTATGGGATGAAGTTGTCTTTTAAATGTCTGTAATGTGGACAGGTTATTGATGTAATTTAAGCGGTTATTTGCTGAAGAGTGTCAGCAGTGAGTAAAATGTTAAAGTAATTTAAAATTTATTGATTTGCGTATCGAAATTACTTGCGGGGTTCATTTAACTGCTTGATTTATTGGTAATAATGCGTGAAATAATAGAATGAGTCATGGGATGAGCAAGTCTTGGTCTTCTTTTGTTGTCTAGAAATTTTAGTGCATTTCAGCAATAATTCTGGATGGATATAAAATTTATATATTACTTTTCTATAGAAATAATCCGCATGTCTACTAAGTATAGACAAGATCTTAATACAAAGTATCGAAACAAGTGACTTAATCACAGAAGCATGTATGCAAATACTCATCGATTACTAAATTTCGTCTACTATTTTGCAATTATTTGCAATTCAAATACTCGTGTGTGAATTTTCAAGAAGAAATAAAAATGTCCACAAATGTTGAGTAATTTCGAGTTTCTAGTTGATTTTTCTTCTTCTCTATCTAACTTCTTCGAAATGAAGGTAGTTGCATAATTAGTAGAGGCTATAAGCGGCTTTAAGTACATTCTAAAGCTTACCTCAAAGTACAAAGATATTGTTATTTTCTAAAGCAAGCTATCGTAATTAAAATATTTATAGCTCATAAAAAATCTAATATTTACTAGAATAGTTTCTCAATCTCTAGCAATATCCCATAAGCAAAGTCATCTATGAATTCGACTATATTTTAAGTTTTAACATTAAATGCACTTACGTGGGATTGGTGGTGGAGTTGGTAAGTTGGCACCAAAAGCTTGATATCCATTTTCATCAGCTCTGTATGAGATTGAGTAGGTTTGACCATCATCACCCTAAAAATTAAAATTAAGAATTAGAATTGACTTCCACAAAATAGAAGGTTTTTACACATGACATATTCCACAGCTACTTACAATATATGAGTATGATCCCTCAACAGCTTCACCAGCACTCTTTGGATCGAATGAGCTTGTCTTCAAAGCTCCACTTTGTTCAACTTTTGTACCATCACCAGTCTCGAATGCATAATTGAATCTACCATCATATTCCAAGTTCTGTTGATGCGACACAATAGGAATATGCTTATATTTGTTATCATTCTCATTAATATTGTTATTATTGTTATATTGTTGAGGTTGTTGTTGCTGATGTTGCTGCTGATTATGGCGCTGAGCCATGACAGCAACAAAGAATCCACATAACACTATGAATCTCATTACTTATGGCTTTTTATTGAAGTAGAGAGAGTTCAAGAAGAAAAAGTAAGTTACGAAAGAAGTTGAAAAACAAAATAATAAAAATATTTATTATAATGAGGAGCGAAAAATGAAATGGCAACCTTTGTGCACTTCCAAAGTAAACTGCACCTAAATCATACAAGACGTGCTTTATATAGAGAGCAAAAAATATGTCTAATGTTAAATAAAACAAAAAAATATTTGTTGTAATGTAACTTTAGAATATCGAAAGAAAATTGCATGCGATTGTACCACCATATAGCCCCACTCTTTTTTTGGCATCAATCTTTTGAAGAAATAGAAAAAGAGAAGAAGAAAATTAGAAAAAGTTCACTTGCTGGTCGATGACTTGAGCGCACTTTGCTGAAAGTAATGCATGTTAAGATCGTGACTGCAAAATGGTCAGTAAGAAAATTTATTGAGTGAATTAGACCACACTCGGTAGCGCTTCATTGGTTTCAATACATTTTCTTAAAACTTTAAAATGATGATTTCCTTAAAATATAAGATCAAGTTACTAAAAAGGATTTAAATAGTCAACTTCTATAGACAGAACAGACAGAGCGAAATCACCTTTTCTACCTAAAACAGCAAACTTTTGTATAATGTACATATTGAGCATAGAAACATGGCTAAAAGTATAAACAACGAGACGAGAGAGTCTTGTACTATTTTGTAATATTTTGATGTTCAAAAGTGCTGTTCAAATTTTCGGCTAAGACTCTTTACACACATATGATTCATAAATAATAATGTCATAATGTCGACAAATAGACAATGTATGAAATGTTTTTTTATGTCGGCGTGTCTATTGTGAATTATGGACCATTTTTCTTTGCAGTAATTTCACGTTTTCTGTTTTGTTTCATTTTATGTTGGAACTAGAGATTCCAAGTGCTGCGTTTCGGTATAGAGTTTATTATCACAAGCAAGGTGTGATCTGCATGTAAATTTTTATGTGCCAGTCTTTATGTCACAAAATTCTCTTGAATAAACAGCTTCAAAAAAGTTATTAGGGCACTCTAGAAACCCCTATTCTTAAAAATAAATCCAAATTGAATCAAATAAGTTCAAATTATATTTTTGAATGCATTTATGTAGTAGCATAATAGTCTGTGGCCATGTTTTCACAATCCATTCATAAATGCATCGCTTCATATTCATGAGAGCCCTTTACGAATATGGAAAAAAAGTAAAAAACGATGTGTTAATAGAAACAATTCTGCATGCTGTACTCATTTTTACTTTCTTCTTAAAATATGACTTGCATAATTCTTCATTATTGCTGCTATTTTCACTCACTCTTTTTCTACTATGGCTCAGGGTTATTCGTCTTGTTGAATTTTATACTTGTATGAATTTTAAATAATTTATGTACCTTATTCTTGAATTTAATCAGAGCCATGTCATCTGATCGACACAACATGTCAAGGACTGGTTTATTAAATTTGTCTGGTGGTTTTCTGGTCTCGAAACTGTCACGTTGTAATTGAGATTAAGAAGTTGCAATTAATCATTTTACTGTGTAAGTCAATTTTTGACAAGATAACAAGATAAATAAGGATTAACTATAATTTTGAATATTGAAACAAAATGTGTAAGAATATGCTGCAATCTTCATATAACAAAAGGTTTGCAAAAGGTACATTAACCAACCCAATATCAAATCAACTTCAACCTAGTCTAAAATCGAAAACCTTTTCATTCATTTTGCACACTTTCTTTAAGACACCGAACGGCTGCATGCTGTGAAATGGAGGGAAAAAAATAAGATTCATTGTTATTGTCAAAAACACATTGAACTTTTGGGTAGATCAGAGCAATTGAGAGACTTTTCTTATTATTAAAATGTGTTCAATGAAAATTTTCGCTTAGAGCTAAATGCGCTGTCATGGGAGCAAAAACTAAAGCAATGAATGATTGAAACATTTTTTGAGCAGTCATTAAATGTTATTAAATTTAATGGTTCTTTTAACTGTCGTTTGGGTTAAGAAAATGTTTGAGTCAATTAAATTTGGATTTATACCTGAAAATAGATATGAATGATTAGGTTAACAAGCTTTTTTGGCAGGTTTAAAACAGGCGTTTGTTGCGAAAGAATCGAATTCTTATATAAAAATTATTGAGAATGAAGAAATATGAGATTTTTATGTATTCAGTTGAGTAATTTTCACTTTTATCAGCCTAACCTTAATAAAATATATTCCACTGGTCACTCAATTACTTCAAATTTATCATGTTAGTAAATTAACATTTTTTGCATCCAATCCATTGAAATGATACGTTGTCTATGAAGCATATGACATCTTGACCTACCACAAAACTTGAATTTATCAGCTACCAAGTCTTAGAGACATTTCAATTCTCAATACATAACCTTAGCAATTAACCCACGTAGACTTCTTTGAATCTTATTAAAAAAAAATATTTATACGAAATAAAAAATCACAAAAGTAATTATAATCAAATTATGAACAATTCCAAATGTCAACAGAAACAGAAACATTAATTCTTTAATTTATTTGACTCTTTTATTTGATATTTTCAAGTATTCAAGTTTGCTAAATTATACTTACAAAGCTTTCAACAAATATCTTCATCAGCTAAAATTATTGCTATAGTTAACATCCCATATAAAGCGACACTGTTGACTGCAGCATGATGCCATCTATAACTGCTGGCAAATGATAAAGCTAATCGAAAAGTTCATTGAAATGAATTTTGTGATTTTTTTTTTCGTTTTGATCTTTTTGTGAACTTTTGGTTTCTATTTAATTGAACTTGACATTAGCGATGCTGGGGATTTGATAAATTGACTATTTTATGAATGATCATGTCATGTTGAAGATAGAAAATAACCTGGCAATGACCGATGTCAGCGGTAAAACAGCACAAAGATGACATAAAATTTTGATGTCATTGAATCTTCTCGTGCGCATTTTGTAACTTAAGCTTTTAATTTCCATGATGAGATCTAAAATTTTAAATTGCGATTTTATAAGGTAGTTAAATTGCTTTCTATATTTGTCCATTAAACTATTAATAAATTGTCTTTGCACAATTAAAACTTTACGGATTGTAATTTTTTGAACTTATTGCTCATTAATATGAATAAAAAGATAATGAATTTCAAAGCTTGAAAGCCCAAACCTAACTGTCAAAATTACTTTTCCTTGAAACAACACGAGTCGAATACAATAAGAAGTCTCGTGCCTGTGCTTTCAATTTAACAAAGCTCTTTGATTTGAGCTTTTTTCAAAGCTTCTCAAATGCTTTAAGAGGTCAAGTCCAAAACAATGTAATCCTCTGTATAGCATCTGATGTCACTTACTGTCACAAAAAATAAATAAATAATTCTCATTAATTTATTGACATTTTAATGCCATAAAAGTTGCAAAACTTTTCCTCATTGACTTACAAAAAATATTTAAATTTTACAAGTTTTATTTTCATTAATACCTAACTTGATAAATAATAATGTCTGTAAATTAAAACTTATTTGATTTGAAAATGCAAATTAAAAGCAAATATTTTCTGTGCTAAGTGTCATTGGAGATAAATAAGTTGTACATCTTCACAGTCGGATTTGCGTAAATTAAAAGCAATGATTTTGAATTCCTGAATTTATTTTCTTGATTAATGTCAACTTTATTCTATTGCTACTAGTTGAAGCTGCTGAGTCAGTAGAGCAAGTATTTTTTAAGTTCAGTTCCAACTCTGATTAAGCTAAGGATCATATCTCACGTTGTGGTAGCAATGATCACATCAGGAGTTTCTTAGCCTTTCCCGCCAGACCTTCCAAAATGATTTATAGTCATCCACGACATGAAATATGTCATAACATTTACCATCCACGAAGTAATTCTTCGACATTGACTCAAATCGTGAAATATTTACGCATAGAAGAAGAATTGTGGGAACTTTTGCACTTTTGCCATTTTTCATCTCATTTCAATGGAGTGAATGCACAGTCACATAACAATCTGAAAAGTGAAATCAACGCATAGTCATTCAATCAAAAGGTTTCATTTAATTACATTTTTTGCGACTCAATTCTTTATTTTACAAAAAATATTCATCCAACAATAAGCTCGTAGAAAAAATACATTTTCAAGCTATATATACAAATTTTAATTTGGTATCGCTGCTGTTTCATACAAAATAAAAGATTCGCTGATATTATGAAAAATTATGTATCACTTTACAAAGGAATTGTTAGTTCTTTTGCAGTACAGGAATTAGAGGAAGATGGGAAGTGATGGATGAGATGGATGGATGTATAGATGGGAATTGTTGTACTTTATCACTTCTTTAGTTTCCTCCTTGACGTTGGCTAGCTGGGATGCTCAAGATGTAGTCAAGAGCTGGATTGGAATAGAATGAGAATATTTTTGTTAATTATTGGTGATTTTAAGGAGATTTTAGAGAATGTGTTGCTGACTAAACTAAGATTCATGCATCTAAGTTCAATCTAAAAACATCAAAGCTCAAACAGCAATTAACATGACTAATTAAATGTCATGTTCTAATTACTATTCACAGATTTAGATATCATGAAACTTACCTTTTTGGATGGCGGCTGTTTGAAGTGACAGAAATAAATTAAGAGCAATTAGTTTAATGTTCACAGTGATAATCAATTAATAAACTTACCAGGAACTGAATTAGCATATTCAGAGTTGCAAATTAATTAGAAAATAATAAATGATCAGTAAAAATTCAAATTTTATGTCATTAAAAAAATATTACTTGGTGGTGGAGTTGGGAGATGGTCACCAACTGGTTGGAAACCACCTTCATCATCAGCAACATATTGGACTGAGATGAGTTCGCCTTCGGGTGATGTGTATGAGTAGCTCCCACGTGCAACAATAACGTCTTGGGCATCTGGACCAGCAGCTCTCTTCAATGTTCCTTGTTCTTCAGCTTTGATTCCATTGCCTGTCTCATAGCTTAAAGGCATTGAGAAAATAGAAATTAAAACAC